TGGGGAGTTGGATCTTGGGGTGACCTGGGCTGAAATTTGCCAGGCCAAGCTGATTTTTTACTTCCCCCACTAAAGAATTTAGTTCTCATCTATCCTTCTGCCAATCCCTGCTGGCACTTCTTACTAGGTATCTTTTGGAGTTCAAGTGTTTTCTGGGTCCGTTACATAGCCAGGTTTTCTGTAGGTGGAAATCCCTCAGCTGAACCAACTCATGCGGGAGCTTTTGGAGCTGAGCTGCTGCCATGGCTGCCCCTTCTCCTCCACTGCTGCTGCCAAGTGTTTTGCAGGACTCCTCAACAAACATCCTGCAGGTATTAGTGAGTCTGGGTTGGGAGCCTCCTCAAACCTTTAAAAAGGGGGCTTGCTGCCAAGTGCAGTGTCACACACCTGTAATCCCAGCAGTTCGGGAGAATGAAGCAGGAAGATCATAAGTTCAAAGCCAGCCTCAGAAATTTAGCAAGGGGCTAAGCAACTCAGTGAGACCCTGCCTCAACATACAAAATTAAAAGAGCCAGGGATGTAACTCAGTGATTAAGCACCCCTGAGTTGAATACCCAATACCAAAAAAAAAAAAAAAGAGGAAGACCTTGCTAGCTGCGTGTGGTGGCACTTCTCCGAAGCCTGAGACAGGATCTCAGGTTCGAGGCCAGTCAGGGAAACTTAGTAAGATCCTGTCTCAAAATAAAGGGCTGGGGGGTGTAGGCTCCATAGTAAAGCACCTCTGGGTTTAATACTCAGTACCTCAAAAAAAAAAAAAAAAAAAGAGCTTATTAGTAACATAACAGGGCTGCCCCTGCTCAAACACTGTCACCAGATCTTGGGACAAGACTCTAGAGGAGAAACTAGACAAAGCGTTACAGGGTTCTACAGTGGCACTCAACAGAGAAGCTTTATTGGGAGTTGACAACCTTCTCCTCCAATGCCAGCATCCCTGTGTTGAGTGGACTATACCAGGCTCTCATGCTAGTGTCTTATTTTTTCTCCAGATGAAATGATATTGATACGGTTTCTTGGGTATTCTGCACTTAAATGACTTACGTTCTCATCATTAAAGGAAAAAATGCTGCCATTGCATCAGCATGTCCTGCTTCCTTTTTAGGGCAGCAGCTCGATGAATTCCTCCAGCTGGCTGTGGACACAGTGGAAAATGGCCTGGGCTCCAAGCCTTCACGCAGTCAGGCCTTCACACTGCTGCTCTGGGTAAGGAGGTGGAATCAATTCTGGCTGGACACAGGCAGTTATTTGGTTAAATAAAATGTCCCTGATGACCCTGAGCCATAAGCAGCTACCTCCAGGTTCTGGGGTTTGACTTCGTCTCTCATATTACAGGTAACAAAGGCCCTAGTACTCAGATACCATCCTCTCAGTTCCTGCCTTACTGCCCAGGTAAGTCCTTCCTTTCTGGGACACAGGAGAACTCAGACTTAAATAGGAACCCTCTTACCCTGTTGCTCCTGGAAACCACTTCCATCCTCCTCCTTGGCATTTAAGGTTCTTCATCCCTGATGTACCTCAGAGATTCTCTTTTCTCTAGCTTATGGGCCTCCTGAGTGACCCAGAACTAGGCCCAGCAGCAGCTGATGGCTTTTCTCTGCTCATGTCTGACTGTACTGATGTGCTGACTCGAGCCGGCCACGCTGATGTGCGGATCATGTTCCGTCAACGTTTCTTCACAGATAATGTGCCTGCTTTGGTCCAAGGCTTCCACACTGCTCCTCAAGGTAAGAAATCTGAAAGGCAGGCCCCCAGATATATAGACCTCTGTTTCACTTGGGAACAGTCTAAAATAATTTATGACCCAAGCGCTTCTTTAGAGTTGTGCTATGTTCTATACCCAGAAAACTAAACTTCCCGATTCTTGCCCCACTTTTTCCTTTAATCGGTATATCTTGCTTATTCTGAGCTTGAGTTGCTTTGTTTTCCTTCTCCTTTTGTATGCTGAAATTCCAGCCTTCTCAGAGATTGGAGTTGAGTTCTTGAATGACTGTCTAAGCCTGTTTCTCCCCAAGCTTCTCCATTTTTTTTTTACAGATGTGAAGCCAAACTACCTGAAGGGTCTGTCCCATGTACTCAACAGATTGCCCAAGCCTGTGCTTTTGCCAGAGCTGCCCACAGTAAGTTTCTATAATCAGCCTCTAAGCAAGAGACAAAGCTTTTCTCCCATAGCCTGGGCCAGAAAGGGGAGAACAAAGATCATCACAATGTGGTCACCCCTCTTTTTCTGTTGCCTCTTAGCTTCTTTCCTTGCTGTTGGAGGCCCTATCATGCCCCGACTCTGTGGTCCAGCTGTCTACCCTCAGCTGCCTTCAGCCTCTTCTACTGGAAGCACCCCAAGTCATGAGTCTTCATGTTGAAACCCTGGTCACCAAGTTTCTGAACCTCAGTTCCAGCCCTTCCATGGTGCGTTGAGCCCTAGCACCTCTGTGGTACTTCATCTCTCCTCAGGTCTCCCTCATCTCTGTATGATTGTGTTCCAGGCTGTCCGGATCGCTGCACTGCAGTGTATGCATGCTCTCACTCACCTGCCCACTCCTGTGGTGAGTACCTCTGTTGTCCTCCCTGGCCTGGGAACCTCTTTCAAGAACCAGGGAAGTACCTCTTTGCCTTTATCAAGTGAGATTAGCCACCCTGCTGTGTGGTTAAGATATGAACTACAAGGTACAGATAAGCACAGATTTTTTTTCCCTTGGGGCCAGAATGATTCTAAAAAATACTGACCACCCAATAAATAGAATGGCCATCCTGCCACTTGGCATCCTCTAGAATCACTAAAAAAGAGTAGGATATATTATATGTGCTTAGCACATGTGAGGCCCTTGGTTCAATCTCTCCCATTAAAAACGGATAGGATATATTCTGCTCTTTTTGAATATTAGTTCTACAAAGCCAGAGAAGCAGCTCTTCTGGTTGCTAAGTTTGACCTTGGCTAAGATTATCTCCTCTGACTCCACAGCTGCTACCATATAAACCACAGGTGATCCGGGCATTGGCCAAACCCCTGGATGATAAGAAGAGACTAGTGCGAAAGGAAGCTGTGTCAGCCAGGGGAGAGTGGTGAGTTCTAGGTCATGGGGAGAGATGGGACCAAAACGAGCCTTACTGCTGATGCTGCCGATTTTCTTTATGCTTACAGGTTTCTGCTGGGGAGCCCTGGCAGCTGAGCCCTTATTTCTGGCCTAGACTCTTCTGACAATCTAACCTGGAATTACTAACTCAAGCCATCTTGCCCAAGGCAAGAATACTAGCCTCTGCCCGCCTTTCCCACAGACACAGCACAAGCGCTGGGCCTCTGCTGCATGGCTATACAAGAAAAAACAGAATCCTAATTTCTAAAGGATTCGTGAATTAACAGAGCAAGTCTACTTGTTTTTGAAGGAAGATCTTGGGTTGTGGGGCCCTTCTGTTGTATCTCATGTCAGGAAATGGGAGCTATGCTGCTGAGGGGTGAGTGCAGATGACTGTGACCCTGAAGACCAGGGATAGTGGATGATAGTGAACACGTGTGTACCTGCTGGAGAATAAAGGTTTCTTTTGGTAATGGTGCTAACTATCAGAGCTAGTCCCCCTCACCCCACATATGCCTCAGTAGCACATAGCCAGAGGTGGCACAGTGATGTTTAAGGGTTAGTCAAGAATTCTGCAGGGCATCCAACCCCTCCAAGTAAGGGCAATGAAGGTGTGAGCAGAATATCTACTCACTAGGCCCTGACCCTGACTTCTCCCACCCTTCCCTGCCCTAGAACTAGGCAAAGAGTTAAAAACCCGTATACTTTTACAAATCAAACACCTTTATTTTTGTTCCCTTCATTAGCATGTGAGAAGTGGCAGTGACTCTGACCTGGGCAGCAGGCCTGTTGTCTTTGCCCCATTAAGAAGTTAGGATCCCAGATGTACCCTTCAGGTGTTTCCCCAAACAACAAGTGGGAGAGGTGATGGCCAGCCCCAGTGCTGTGACATGGAGAATATCAGATCAGCACCGGACAAGGTAGCTAGCTGCCTGACCCCTAGGCTGGGGCTAGAATTTATTTGCCTGAGTAAAGGGATTTTAGTCCTAGGATTTCTCCACATTGTGTCTTGCTTCTGCCCTGGCCAGGCTGGTCCTTCAGTTGTTCCTGCATAGTACCTTAAGGCAGGCCCACTGGCTCCTTTTGATGAAGGGTTCCAAGGAAAGCTGCCCTTGGAGGCCCTTGAGACAGTGTAGGCAGCAGAACAAATACTCAAGTGTGGCTGGCACAACCCAGCTCACACCGCCATCACAGAGGCTGAGTGAACAGTCACCCAGGGAGGGGGGTCCCAGCTCATTCCATTCCCATGGGGCAAGTGACTAGAAGGTAACAGCACACGGGTAAGCCAGTGCCTACAAGAGAAGACAGAAATGTTTCTGAGTTCCAAAAGTTCCTGGTGTCCTTTCTATTTATTTTACAGCAAGCATACATCAAGCACAAAGGTAATAAGAGTCCTAATACTGTCCATTTGATCTGTCTTCTGGGCCCTTGAAGGCCTTTTGAGGTTTTGAGCTATTCTAAGGGGCCTCTGCAAGCACAGTGTTAGGCAGGAGTATAATAAAGATGAGAAAGGGAGGAAGGAAAGAACTGACAATGTGACTGGTTGTTTATTGCCTCAGTAATTCAGTTTGAAGAATGACTTCCCCTTGTCTCTACGGCTCAGAGAGCTAGCTTTGTTTATTGCCTCAGGACTCCAAAACACTGCCTACAAATGAAAAGTGATTGGCAACTACTACATACTACCTTTTTCAGTATTCTAGTGTAGTCATCTTAAACCTGATCTGCTCCTTAAGCCGTGGTTTGAGCCCCAAGCCCCTCTGTCTTAAATGAAAGCAATGTTCTTTACTCCTACAGTTTAGAACTGCAAAGACAGGGACATGTGGCTATTTAAACTCATGAAAATGAAATCCAATTAAAATCCTTCAGTGGCACTATCCACATTCTAAGTATTCCCAGGTAGAGGCCATCTTTCTCATCACTGGTCTCTTACTTTACCTTCCTGTGTCCACACCCAGGAATACCTTCCAGTTGTCCAGACAGCCATAGTTGTAAGGATTCCTAAATACCTAGAGCCAAGGAAAAGAAAAAACATTTCTACAGACCTCTTCTTTATAATCCCCTTCTCATTTTGGAGACAATTTTGGCTAAATTGAAGCCCAGGTAAGCAAGTTCTGGCATTATGTTATAGTTACAGAGTTGTCCCTGACCATGTCCTCTGCTTCCAGGATACAGGTTCAGTTACCTACCTGCCCACCCAAGCCCTCAACCCCACTCACTCTGCCCTTCGCCTGTAGTCGACGTCTTTCCTTCTTGTTGATGTGCCTTTCGATGCTAGTCTCACCCCGGCTGATGAGAACAGCATGCCATATGGTTAGGGCACCCAGGGCAAGTGCCACAGAACTAAGAAAATAGACAAAGATTGGTAGAAATTAGGGCCATTGGATGTAGGTCTGAAGCTGAGCTACACAATGATTAGTTAGCAACCTCTCTGCCTCATTTTTCTTATCTCCTGGCATACTTCCTAGATTAACTTGTACTTTCACCATATCTATAAAGAACATCAGGCTCCCATCTACTCAGGAGGAGGCTGAGGAAGGGGTATCACATTGATGTTCAAGGTCAGCCTAGGCTATTTAGTGAGACCCTGTCTCAAAGTAAAATTTTAAAAGGGCTGGGGATGTAGCTCATTGGAGCACCTCTGTAGCATTTGTGAGGCCCCAGATTCCATCCCTAATACCTAAAAATAAAATTAAAAAATGTGTCAGTGTAGGATGAAAATAAGTCATGTGGAAAGGAAGGGGGAGAAATAAGTCTATTGAGAGAACATTCTATATTTCCTAAAAACTCATGCTTGGGAGACAGTGAAGAGTAGCAAAAACACTGGGGGATAAGATAAGGGTGACATGAAATTTGCATTCCAGCTGTAGCACTCCTAGCCATGTATCAAGGAACACATCACTTCATTCTATAAATCTATAAAATGCAGTCACCTACCCTTTAGATAGTTACTACCAGGAATAAATAAGTTTAACTTACCTTGGCACATAATAAATAACAAGCATGCTTACATCCTTAGTGCTTGGTAAACAGCAGTGCTCATGTCCTGAGTGTTCCCTGCCCCAAAATGCTGAAGAAAAGTGCTGACTCTGCCAACCTCAATTAGACTAGAACAGAGGCAGGTCATTCAGGATGGGTTCCTGCCTGCATTTGGGCACTTAAAAAAGGTTTTTCTAAAGCTGCCCTACCCTTAAAACTATCAAAACTGAGTTAAATACCTGCACAGGAACCAGAGGTAGACAAGGCTCTTGTGAGTTATCCTTTCCCGAAAGGAGAAGGTGGGTGGTGGGGTCTGGTGATAAGTCTAGAAAAAGAAAAAAGCAAAGCCTGGCTCCTTTTGCTCAGTTGGTCTCTATCAACTGCCACCAAAGCCCCCAGCACCTATATGCAGGAAGTATTCCAAACCCAGGCAGAAAAAATGGAGACTAAAGCTACACAGGAGTCAGGACAGCAGGCAAAGGAGTGGACCAAACCTGGTGGCACCAACACATGGACAAACACTGGGCAGGGCAGGTCTGGACAAGATGGAAAAGCACAGGAGGAGAGCTGACCCTGGGCCTTTAGGTTGACAACATGAATGGGGCTCCAGGGGAAGCCACTCCATTCCACAGCCATAACTCCTTTATGTGGCTGTATCCCCAAGAAAGGAGACCAGACCCATAACCGGCATTCACTAATTGCAGAGGAAAAAATCATTAAGAACTGAGAAGGGCAGCAGAGGTACAGCATATAAGCCCAGGATGTGCTCAGAATAAGGAGTTCTAAGAGGCAGAGTGGGGATTACCCAGATGCAGATGGACCAGCTTGATGTCTGTCCCCTGGAACCCCATTACACAGACTAACACAGGCTCCTTGCTGCTCAGGCCATCACCAAGACAGAGTCCAGGCTCAGCCCAAATATGATGATGGGATAGTCAAAAATTGTCACATCCCAGACACTTCCAGCTTGCCCCAAGCCACTTAGTCCACCTACTGCAGCCTCCCTAAACATCCCTGATTCAGCCTACTGAGGCTCAACAAGCCCCTACAACTAAAGTAGCAGGCCCAGCTGTCTGAGCAGCTCTATGTTCCTGGCCTGAGCAGCAGGAGGCAGTGGGGTGGGGACAGCCCACCTGGTTGGCAACCGCCTGCAGTTTGTTCTTGTCGAGCTGTTTCATTTTCTAAGGGGATGGAAAACAGTGCTGGTTATACTCTTAAGGCCCTGGGGTGGGGGTGCTACCAGTCCCATTCCTTAGGGACAGGCTCACACCCTGAAACACTGCACCATTGAGTCACCCTGCTCCTAACCGTAGGCTCACCTCAATGGCAGCATAAGCCTCCCGGAAAAGGTCCCAACTTCCATAGCTGCAGTAGACACAGCCCAGAGTCATGAAAAAGCAGAAAGAGAAGAAGTACCGATGGTTATAGTGGCCCACACAGTTATTTAGCCAGGCTGGTGAGGGGATGATTAAGGACAAGATCAAACAATTTCAGTGGTGTCCAGGCCTCTGGTTCATACTTGGTTAAAGAGCATCAACCAAGCAAGAATTATTTTCCAAAGGCAAGAAAATATGGGATTATTTCCTAAGGTTCAGGTCAAAGTCTCATAAGCTTTTCAGAGCACTCAAGTACCCCCACAGAATCATGAAAATGAATCTGCCAATACTTTAACCTCACTAGGGTTAACTGGACATCTGTATGGGACAACACAGGGGGACCCATGATTCTATTTGGTACCCCCAGGGGACAGCCAGCGAAGCCCTGGCATCACTTTCCACCCAACAGCTATTAGCATAACAGCCTACAAAAGAAACCTGTTGAAAGATCCCTGGCTCAGGCTGGGGATATAGCTCAATTGGCAAAAGTGCTTGCCTCCCATGCACAAGGCCCTGGGTTCAATCCCCAGCACCACCAAAAAAAAAGAAAAAAAAAGATTCCTTGCACCCAGAGAATCCATCCCAGAGAGCCTATGAGCCTCCTGTGCCCCGCAAGAGATGATCAACCCCCACAATGTCTTTTCTACTAACTTCTCATGAGCCCAGTGTTCTCTGCACAGTGAAGTCTTAGGCATGTGGCCATTAACCCTGTATAGTGCTCTGGAACTAAAGAAGTCAGTCTCAGGCAGAAGAAAGCAAAAGGATACGGCAGTGATGGTCCATCTTCAGCACACACCTGTGAGGGAGGGACACAGGCTCTGTTTAGGTGGCCATGGTTCTTGAGATGTCAGTACCAATCCTTTCCTACAAGGGCCAGCATCCTGCTGAGGTGGAGAGGGCACAGACTTTGAAGACAGCCAGGCTTTGCTTCAAACCCAGCTCTATAACTTATTGGCTATGTGATACTGGACAAAGTAATCCTCTCTTGAGTCTCAGTTTCCACAAGTAGTAATAATGCCTAACTCAGAACCATCCTGAGGACTATGTTTCAGGAAATAAGAGAATGTTGCCTGGGACGAGATGGATACTTGATACATGTCTTAGCAAACTCTTAAGTCAGGTTTTGCCCTAGGGCCACAGCAAGAGAGTCACTTCTGGGGTTCATAAAGAACAAAGCCAAGACCAACCTATTGCAGATGCTGCAGTGGTGTGTTCGGGCAGGTTTGGGATAAATACACTTCTTACAGATGGAGACTGTGGCAATGTCATTCCTGCCCTGTGAAGAAAGAGCATCATGACCACTATGGCAGCACCATTTCTATGCCTCAAAATATTCCATGACATTCTCCCACTCCTGAGACTGGCTCAGATAGCTGCAACTCTGCCCCTACCTCCCCTCCCCCCAGCGGAACCCACCTGGGGTGGGTACCCAGGTGGAGTGGTGATGGCCTGGTAGTAATGGAAAACGATGAGAATCAGATTCCAGTGACTGTAGAAGAAATGCCAGCAGAGTCGTGGCACCGAGTAGGTTTGAAGGATGAGAGGCAGGACACACAAGTAGGCGATGGCCACGATGGAGCCCGTCAGCACTATCACCAGCACCACGAACACCTGCCAACACCAGTGAGGTCAGGTAGACACAGTAAGAACGCTATACCCAGAGGAGACTCAGGAATTTCTCTAGGGATAGAGGGCTGGCCTCCAGAACCTAATGCAGGTCTATCAGTGAGAGACACGTCTCTCTGCTCCCCCCAAAACATTCATTTTCCTGCTCTTAGGCATCACTTACCACCCCAAACCAGCGGATCACGTTGTCCACCAGCCAGTAGACAGGCTCAAAGGCAGCATCGACAGCAGTATCACCACCCCCAAAGGAGTTATAGAGCAAGGAGCGCAGGCAGACCTTGCCATAGCGCCAGCGCTGTACCAGGCCCCGGAGCAGAGGTGGGCAGCGGCGCCTGTAACCCAGGAGCAGAAGCAGGCGCAGACAGAGGCGGGCTGGGCCCAGCAGCAGGCTCCGCTGACCCCTCATCGCTCCTAGGAGAGAATACCATTGTAAGGATCCAGTGTGAGTCCTATCCCTCCCTCCCCAACCATTGGGAAGGCCCTGAGCACCAGCTCAGAGGGCAAACACCTAAAACTAAGACCCAGCTAGGCCAGTCACCAGCTGTGAGGAATACGAATGGAACTTCATTTTTCTATGGAATGTCCAGTGCTCATGTCCTAACCAGAAAGAGGGACTGGAGGTTCTGAACCTGCATAAATTGTATTTATATTATGCCACAGGGGTGCACAGCAAATCCACTTAAACTAAAGGGGTCATGGTATTAGAGTAAGGGAGAGAAAGGTGGCATCACAAAGGAGTCTTTGGAGCTATCTGTGTAGAAACCATTGAAAGAAGCATGGCCCACATGAACAAAGCTGCCCAGTACATCTTGGCAAGACCACTGTGGCAGAAGTTTCCCAGGGCCTCCTGCCTGCCCTGACCACCAAGGGTATAGCATATGAATCCTACACATAGATTTGCCTTGGTGCTGTCTTGGTAAAAGATACTTTTTCCTACTCCCTCTAGGCTGATGTTCCAGGCCAGGAGACTCAACCTGGTAGCATGAGATTACTGTCTCCTGTCAAGACAGCCAACCCTCAAATGACATAAGATGCTTTGTCTCCAATTCCACTCCCAGCCCTACCCCAAGGGTACAGCAGCCAGAACAACTTCAGGTATTCAGAGCAACAGAACCAAGGCTGGAGACACAGCTGTGGGAGGGATCTCCATGCTGGTGGCTCATGAAAACCTCAGGGCCTGCCCTCTCAGTGACAAGTCTTCCCTGATGCACTAGTAAGACACAAAAGGACCTTCTCTGCAGCTGCTGCCCTTGGCCCCAAGCTTCCCAACCAACTTTCCCAGCTGTGCAAGAGCCTCCATCCCTTGGCACTCTCCACCTCATCCACAGCATAGGAGCTCACTGCCCAGGCAATGACCAGGACACAGATGCTCTACCAGACTTTTTCCATGACAGTCTCAATTCTGCAGATTAACTCTTTTACCAGAAAGGAAATTATCTGATTTTCCCCTAGAGCAGCCAGGAAGGGCCGCTTTGTCCTTAACAACTCCACTGACTTATTTAACAGGCAGCTCAAAACCCAGCAGAAACTGGAGGAGGCTGCTGTGCTATGGGGATGGTTTCAATTCAGTAACTAGAGCAATGTATTCTCTTTGCACTCTGGCTCATCCCCACAGAAGATCTTTCAAAGAAAAAATAATTACCTCCTCCTACATGCCATGTAAGCCTTACAGAGAAAAGAAACCCAGCAGACAAGGCCTACAAAAGGAGAGAAAGACAATTTAGGAGGACCTACCCGATGCACCAGGATAAAGAAACTGGCCATTCCCATCACCTCCTAGGAAGATAAGAAAATTAAAAGGAAGTGTAGAAAAGAGGAAAACCAGTAAGCTCAGATTTGGATGCCTATTGTTTGGAACCATGATTTGGCTAAAGCATGAATTTTCAAAACAGTAGACAGCCAAAATTAAATGTAAGAGTAGAACAGGACAACTGCCCCACAACAAATCTAGGTGACTTTTAGACTGTCCACACCACTGTATTCTCCCTTGCTACAGATAATGGAGAATTTCCTAGTTGCTAAAATACTTTCTGTAACAACGGCATACCTATCAGATACATTCCTCATAGGTAATCAATAGGAATCATATTCTACCTCAAAGCCACCACTAGTAGTCTAAAAAAATAAAAATTATCCTTCTTAGATTCTCTACTTTTCAGATTCTTCTCAACCACTTCCTGAATTCCTGAGCTGTACATGAAATGTCTACCCCAAAGACTAGATTTAGCAACTCTCATCTTCCCAAACGTAACTACTTAGGGTTCAATTCTGCCCCTAAGTAGTTCTGTGACCTTAGGCAAATCATTGATCCCTGCTGGAATTTAATAACATTGTGTTCTCATTCAATGAGGAGGTAAGATTAAATGGTAAGATCCCTTCTAGCTCTAACCCTTTATAAATATACGAGTCTGTGTGTGTGTGTGTACACACATATATTTGGTAAAGTATAAATGAAAAGTTTATAAAGTACTTAGCACAATACCTGGTTCATGAAAATACTCAAATAGTTGTTAAATTAATGACCTGGAGGGTTGCAGAAGTGGAAAGCCTGGTCAGATATCTATCTGTTCTACAAACATCAGCAAGGTCATTCCTGAAATGTGATAACACTAAATAAAGTGCCTGCTGCTAACATTCTTCCTGATTAATAAAGAAGAGAGAAAGTAAAATAAAGAAAATAGAAACCGTAATTAGAATCACAGCATGAAAAAGAGCTAAAAGACATTTTAGAAAACAAGTCTAACAAGAAGTCAACCCAAACAAGTGAACAGAAAGCTTGCAGATGAAGAAACACAAGTAAAATTTGGTTGATCAAAATATGAACCCAGGCCCTTCCTCTCACTTTTAGCTACTGAGACACGGGAGGCATGGGAATGCCAGGGAAAAGATGTTATCCATGGGCCACAATGAAACAGGTTTCATTTCAGGAAATTGAAGAGCAAACAAAAAAATGTGTTGGGATGGGGGGCTGTGAGCTCAGAGTGAACAGGGAAGGAAATAGAAAAGCACATTTCTACTCTCATACCAAGATAAACTCTGACTAGTCCCATTCCTCAGTAGTACCCACAGGCCATGGTGGCCATCTGCCACCAGATTAGAGACTGCAGGCCACAACACTCCCCTCATCCCTGAGCTCTAAATCACCATCTGTTTCCCTAGGGAAAAACCGATTGGCAAAAAAAAAAAAAAAAAAAAGGGGGGGGGGGGATAAGGAGGTACAGATTCCAGAACAGCCATAATTTAGACAAAATAGATCAGCGTCGTCGCAAATTTCATCTAGACTAAGATGCTGCTCTCAAGTTGTTTACAATCTCAAGTAAGAGATGTCAGACTTCAGTAAAGCGCAGTATTTCATTCATATGCAGACATCCCTTCTGGGTTGCCAGCTTTAAAAAAAAAGAAGTAATGCATGCACTTAAGAAGGGGCCCTCACAACTGGAGGATCCAATGCAGGACTGAAAGCTGCAGTTACAAAACCCAGGAAAATGTTCTGTGTCTCAAAAAGGGCAGTGATGTCAAACTGCAACGGACAGATGGCCAAAAAACTTTGGTTCCGGCTTGGGCTCTACCTCGAATTATGTTTGAGCCTTTGAACAAGTCAAACCCTGTCCCTGGATCTGAGTTTCCAAACCTGTGAAATGGGCAAGTAGGGCTGGCGGACCTCCTTCCGGCTTTGCGCCTCACAGAAGCCCCGAGGGTACGCTCTGCCAGAGGAGGACACGGCCCTGCAGGGCGGGGCGCGCAGTGAGCAGGAACCTGGACTCACATCAAGGCCCTGGGACAGGGCCCGACCCTAGAAAAATGGACAAGGATGGGGAGCAAGGGCCGCGACTTCTCCTTACCTGCACCCTGCCGACTCCTCAATCAGCCAAATTAAACACCGCAGCCTCTGCGGCCGCTCACCACCCCCCGCTCCAGCTCGGTGCCCGGGCCAGGCCAGGTTCAATCCGACCCACCATTGCCCGTCACCCACAGCGCCAGTAAGCGGACCGGGACCCGCCGCCAGCCCATCCTCAACCATGAGCGCAAGCGCGTGCCCTGAAACCTCGAAGTTCCACCTCCGATTTTTTCCCGGAGCAACCTGGGAAATGGAGTTTACCCCGGAGACATAGCCCCCGCTGATCACGTGTCAAAGTGCACCAATTGGCGCATATCTTACTGCGGAACTGCGCCGGTGTGTGACCAATGAGGAATCGGCTCCGTTTACATCCGGGCTTTACGACAGTGGCAGTCATGGCGCCACCCGTGAGATATTGCATCCCTGGTAAGTGAGGGCTGCCCGTACAGAGCCATGGATAGTGACAAAGTCAGGAATCCTGAACTGCTTCCTGCTTCTGGGAGCCCAAGGCTGATGCAGCGTTTTTTCTGCAGGCGAACGTCTGTGCAATTTGGAGGAGGGCAGCCCTGGCAGCGGCACCTATACCCGGCACGGCTACATCTTTTCTTCGCTTGCGGGCTGCCTGACGAAGAGCAGCGAGAACGGCGCGGTAAAGGAGGCGGCTTCCCTTTTCCTGTCTCTCTTAGGCTGCCTTTGAGTTCTGATTTTTAGACACCGGCGCCGCGGACGCGTCTTTGGTGCCTCACCAGTAAAACGATTCAGCCTCTCGGGGTTTGCCGTCTGTGATGGCCACTGCTGTGCACTTACCAGTTTGGTTTATCTCGCCTCGTTGGGCTGCCGACACTCTGGGACGAGGCTGGAGCGAGGACAGATGCAAACTGAGAGTAGCCCAGCCCAGCAGTGAGCTGAATCCCCCATCAGAATGTCGCCTACTTTTCCTCCTTATACCCCCACTATTTCGTCCTCACTCACTGCAATCTAGTCTTACTGGCTTATTTCATTATCGCTAACACGCTAAGCGCCTTACTGCCACAGAAATTTTGTATACCTGCCATTTTTCGGGAACACACTCCTCTTCTCCTTAGCTTGTGTATTTCTTACATCTTTCAAAAGCCTCTCTAGTGTCATTTTCTCAAAGAAACCCCCTAGACTCACTGGTTGAGGAAAGGGTTTGTAGGGGCTTGTTTTGTTAAAAATTTACAACAAACTATTCCTTCCCCTGAGCATTTCAGCACTCGGGTTTTTGTGTGTAGGGGGGGTGGTGTTTGTTTGTTTTTTGTTTTGTTTTGGTTTTTTGGCACCAGGAATTGAACCCAGGGACACTTAACCCCTGAGCCACATTCCCAGCCCTTTTTTATTTTGAGACAGGGTCTCACTAAGTCGCTCAGGCTAACTTTGAGCTTGAGGTCCTCCTGCCTCAGTCTCCCAAGTCACTGGGATTACAGGTGTGAACCACTGAGCCCAGCCACCATTACCCCCTTATGAGAGAAAACATATGGCCCTTCTTCTAACTTTGGCTTATTTCTGTTAGCATAATGTACTCAAGTTTCATCCATATTCCTTCAAAGGACATAATTTTATTCTTCTCTATAATTTTATTCAGTTTATGGCTGAATAAACTTCATTGTGTATATATGCCATAATTTGGCTATTGTGAATTATGCTGCTAAAAAACAATGGTTAGATGCTGGAAGTAGACTCTATGCGTGTTGTCAGGCCTGAGGGCCTCTTTCATTTTTGTCAAGGAGAGGGCTAACCTCTCCTTTCATACAACACTCAAGCATTTTCATGTGTTAGTCATAGTGCTAACCTCTGAAGATGTAGTAATAAGCCAGATACACTTAGTTTTTTCTGTGGAGGGCCCAGACGCAATTCAAACAAATAAATGTTCAAATGAGTGTCTCATTAACAATTGTGATAATTGCTTTGAAAGAATATTGTACAGCACCATGAGAACATGTAACCAGAGAACCTACTCTTGGTCAGTGAATGGGACATTTAAGTTGAATCACCTAAAGGATTAGAGGATTAAATTAGAGTTGAGTGGGTGAAGAAAATGTAGTTCTAGCTGAAAGAACAGGTTAAACAGAGATTCTACTGAAGTGAGAAGCAGTTTGTAAGTTGGGAAAATTAAAAGAGGTTTAGAGAGTCTTAGTATAGTGGTCAGGGGAGAGATTGATAAAAGATGAAGCTGAAAATATGTTTTACACCAATAGCCAATATCATGCTTAAAGAGAAAACTCTAGACATAATTATATAAAATATAAGAAAACAGTATGGCTGTCATATAACATTTATTTGGAAATTCTGTGCTATGCAATTAATAATTAAAAGAAACAGAGGCATTATTATAACACTTGTTATGACAATGAGTCAAATTATGCATGATTACAGGCAATAGGGTTGTATACCAGGAAATTCCAAGAGAATTTTATAAAATTTATTAGAACTCATCTGGAATGTTTATAAATTCCAAGGTATTTTTCTGTTATAAACCACAAATACCTTTATTGTTCTCTCTGTAGCTTCCTGTGGTGTCTGTGATGAGAGAAACAGAGTCCCAATTACTTCCAGATGTGGGAACTATTGTAACCTGTAAGGTAAGTTGGTCCTAACCTACTGCTTAGGATACCCATCCAATACCGAACTCAGAATAATTCTAGAACTGCATTTTCAGTATGGTAACCACTAGCCACTTGTGGCTATTGAAATTAACAAGTGTTAAAAATTCACTTTGTCAAGCCGGGCACGGTGAGGCACACCCGTAATCCCAGTGGCTTGGGAGGCTGAGACAGGAGAATCGCAAGTTCAAAGGCAGCCTCTATAAAAGCGAGGCACTTAGCAACTGAGACCCTGTCTTTGAATAAAATACAAAAATAGGGCTGGGGATGTGGCTCAGGGACCTAGTGCCCCTGAGTTTAATCCCCGGTACCTCTCCCCCCAAAAAATTCACTTTCTCAATCTCACTGGCCACATTTCAAGCAGTGAAATCAAGCCCAGCAGTCACTTGTGCCTTATGGGTCAGCACATGACATTTTTATCATCACAGAAAGTTTGACTAGACTATACTACTGGACTAGAAATTCTAGGATATTGATCAAGGCAGCCAAATTCAGGCATCCATAGTTCCTTCACTGAGCTGGTTTCTGAGCATGTAGTTTCTATCTCTGTCTGAGAAGTGAGGCATACCAACAGGTGATAATGAGATCTGTTTTTAAAACGTGAAACCAAGACTTTGTCTGCACAGAATCAAAAGACTCTTCTGTAGCATTCCTGTTTGAAGACCTTTAGGGATTTTCTTTAGTTGTTGATGGACCTTCATTTTTACTTGTTTATTTGTGGTGCTAAGGATCAAACCCAGGGCCACACTCATGCTAGGCAAGCACTCTACCACTGAGCCACAATCCCAGCCTTGACTTTTAGGGTTTTTGAGAGAAGGTACTGATTAATGTACTAATCTGTAACTGTAACACATAAGTTACCTCTACCCGTCCCCACCCTCTGCCAAGTTCTCTTGTAGCTTTTGGTTTCTCTATAAATTATTCCAGAAGAAAGTATATGTGTTACTCTGAAAATAACTACAGAGGCAATTATTAGGCAGCAGATAAAACATAGATTTAAATTCTATTCACTGTATAAGCCTCTTATAAGATCTGTTAAAGGTCTAGATTTGCTTCTATGCGCTGTTTTAAATTAGACTTGTGGACTTTTAAAATCTGCACCCTATTATCTCACTTGATTTCTGAGTAACCCTATCATATGGCCTTTGTGGCTCTTATTACACAGATGTCACTTAGGTAGTGATAAATAGGAGTTAACTTATTTTAAATTCTACTTAGTAAGGTTGCTTGTACTAAAATCCTGGTAATTATTAATTTATTGCTATGTCCTTGAAGTGATATCTGCTAATCCTCTGATGCTGATCCTTGTTCTATTGCACAGGTCTCTAGCATCAATTCACGCTTTGCCAAAGTGCACATCCTATATGTGGGGTCCACACCACTTAAGAACTCCTTTCGAGGAACTATCAGGTAAGAGGTACCCTTGTCTTCACATGCCCCAGTACCTGGAATAAAATTAGAATATTTAGGAACAATTACAGTTCCTACTCATTTTTCTTTTCTTTGTGCCAATAGTACCCCCCAAAAGAAATATTCTATGAGGAAAATATTAATAAGAGAGGGTTTTAAATTATAGCCAAAAAAAATGTGTGAAGCTAAAGATTAGGAGTATCAGGATGATTCAGACCAAACAAAACAAAAGCATTTTAGAAAGCACCTTTTTTTTCCTTGAATTTAGTATAGATTAAACCCAAAAGTTTTAAGACTGTGGGTGAAATAATAGGATTGTTCTCTTGTGGATGTTTTTTCAGAAAGGATAAAAAATTCTTGCAAACCAGATAATGTAACTTGTGAGGATCTTTCCACCATCAGGATTTAATATGGTCTAGGACAGTTTTAAGTTCTCCTGAGACAGCAGAGTTCCTTTACCTTCCTGCTGAATCTGATCTGCTTTTCCCAAGCCAGAGGTATCAGTATTGACCTTCTCTGTGGTCCAAGAATGGGAAAATGTTTTGTCCTCTCCATGTGGGCTAAGGCTACCTTCTACCCCATGTCTGTGGGTGGCAGCTGGGTCCCCACAGACAATTCTTACAATTAATCTTTCTGTCAATTCTTTTTTTATAGAAAGGAAGATGTCCGAGCAACTGAAAAAGACAAGGTTGTTGGTTGGTTTGGGTTTTTTCCCCCCATGGCTTTAGGGAACTTGATTTTTTTTTTTAATTATTATTCCAATGAATTTCTAAGTCAGAGGAATATGAAGTTCATGGAAGTTTAATATATTCTGTGCTATGATGTGTGAAATCTATCTTGCTATCCTTTTCCACTACTTTAAGAGTTTTATTCCTTCAATTGATATCAGCATGTCTAATTTATTCTTTGCATTTAAAGTTGGTTATTTATTCATTGCTCTTCCCTCAGACTTATTTTGGGCCCTTTCAGAGCCAACTATAGTGCTTTTTGTTTAAGTCAGAGTCCTGGTCATGTTATTGAATTCAAATTCTTCCATTCATATTATGATGCTATAGGAGCAATGAAAGGAATTGACCGACAAGTGCTGATGACTTCTACATTCTGGAATTAGAAAGTAAACTAGCTCTACCAGAAGGATGAAATTTCAGGTAAACCTGATCTAGACCTTTCACATAACATTCCTATTCTTTCTTTACAGGTTGAAATTTATAAGAG